GGCATGAAGGGATTGTGTCGTCATCTTCAAAACTTCGCAATTGGCTTAAAGGGATAGTTCACCCAAAAATGAAAATTACCCCATGATTTACTCACCCTCAAGCCACCCTAGATGTATATGATTTTCTTCTTTCAGATGAATAAAATCAGAGTTTTATTAAAAAAAAAAAAATTTCCTGGTTCTTCTAAGCTTTATAATGTCAGTGAATGGGTGTTGAGATTTTGAAGTCCAATAAAGTGCATCCATCCATCATAAAAATACACCGCACAGCCGTTCTGAAGCGAAGGGATGCGTTTGTGTAAGAAAAAATCCATATTTAAGGTGGCGTTCCAGACTTATGCGTAGCGTAAACTCTGGTGAAAATATGCTAGTCTTGCGAGAACCAAGTTTTGTTTACAGCAAAGGAAAACCAGTCTCCTCTTGGCTTATATCAAAATCCTCCCACATTTTTCTTTACAAATCCTTGTTTTGCACTTGACCAGTGTTTTGTTTTGCTCTCTCTTCCGTGTTTCTGCGTTCGTCATTTCTCACCAGAGCTGACGCTACACCTATGTCCTACAAAATAGCTTTTGGTCCCCATTGAATTCCATAGTATTTTTTAATACTATGGAAGTCAATGGAGAACATCAACAGCACTCTTCAAAACATCTTCTTTTATGGTCAATAGAACAAAGAATCTTTTGGAACAACTTGAGGGTGAGTACATTTTCAGCAAATTTTTATTTTTGGGTAAACTATTCCTTTAAATAGACAATGAAAGTGATGCATAGGCCTATATATTTTTTACATTTACCTTTTTTTACTATTACTACTCGAATCTTTCTTGTCATTCTAAAGTTATATGCATCCTCCAACATTTGTGTGTTCATTTAGTAAGTATTTGAGCTAACTTGACAATATAAACACATTTTAAGATATTTAAATCCAAAGTATGCACAAAAAGTGTGTATTCCATACGGGCCTACTTAACACATTCCCGCACAGTAAAGTCATCTGTAGCAACTCCAACACAAGAAGCATTAAATAAATGTGTGAACAAAGGAGCATCAAAATAAAAATAGCCGAGCTCCCATCACGGGGCCCATTTCTCTCTCAGTGGCCATGCGCTGGGACGACTGAGGAGTTAATACAAAACTAATTAGCAAAAATTGACTGGTGCCAACCCCCCTCATTCCTTTTCCTGCCTCACTATGCAGGGGGACAGCGGTAAGCCCAGAGCACAGGTGTACCGCTCACGCCGGCTCTAGATTACTGCCCACTGCCTCGGCGCTCGAAACCCTTCACCGCGCTCTCCAGGCCGCGGTTATGTCAGCGAGGAAATGGAGTGTGATGAGCTGCATTTTAAACAAATTGTCGGAAAAGAAAGTAACACAATCGTTTTTGAACCACAACAATGAAAGCGATGCATTAATGCACGGTTGAGACCCTACTTTGGGCGCCAACTAAGGTGGTCCAAATTTGCGGGGAAAGATCAGCGCTGACAATGCACATTAAACGGATTACTTGAATTTGCCTTGCAATCAGGTTTAGGAGAAATTCACCCACTAAAGGCAAGCGGCTGCGCAACGAAACATCTTACAGTGTTTCCCCGTCCCAGAACCATCTGCTTCGTTTAATCCAATCACATTGCAGCAGGAAAAAAATGGTTCAAACGGAGGTCAAATGCAATGATATTAAAACTGACTCCCATCATTGGATCCGAGCTGGTCCTTCAGCACTGGGTCTGTGCCAAAGCGGCATTTGCACAAGATAACTTGTTGCACGATGTATTTTTATGAATGGCCGACAACCTCGTTTTTAATGAATGGTACTGTGTGAAAGAGCACAGTGGCATGGTCACTGTTGCAGTAACAGGGCTGGTCGGTGGGATTTAGCAAGCAGAAAGCAGGGGAGGATGGGTGCGAGGGGGTGGGGAGGTCCCAACCCACAATGTGTACTGCAGTAACCACAACAAAGGCTGTGGTTTATCCCACAATCGCCTTAAATAGATCCAAATTATTGTTATTCCTCAGCCTGTGGATAGGAAGAGGAATAAAAAACGGCTGTAACACAAGATGTGCCAAAAGTCAGCCTGAAGATATCAGCGGATTCGGTTACTGGCGTATAAAAAAAAAAAAAGTTCTACGAATCGGCTTGCTGTAGCCTTTGACCGGCTTTTGCAAAAACTTTCAGCCAGCTTCCTAGAACTTAATACGAATTTACAAAAACTTATGACTGGGCGCCTCAAGCATGCGTCATCAAAGCTAACTAGTTTTGAAAGACACACTGTACAGTAAATCTGTTTAAGAGCTCACAAAAAAGTGGGTCAGACATCTTTACAAACATTACACACACAAACGGTTTGTTCGATGTGGCTCCAGGTCAATTAAGGTAAGTCCAGTATAAATATCTATCAGCCTGGCTAGAAATATACACACAGGCCCGGTTGAGCGATTGTTATCTATCTGCACCAGCGGTATCCTTCCATTGTGTAGTGAGTCTGAAAACACTGGAATGAGACACAACTACAGTTCACAACAAGTGAAATTGCATTTAGTTGACATTTATAATGACAGGAACTTCAAAGAATTCTATACAATTGTGTATTTCATCTTATTAATGCATCTTTTAAATTTTATATGACAACACAATATCCTTTTTTTCCGCAATAGTAATAATTTAGACTTGAACTTGAAAGGGAACTAAATCTTACATCTAGGAGAAAATTGTATGATTTTAAAAATTAAATAAATTTTAAAATATTTTAAAAGTAGCTTGTATGTTAAAATACCAAAAATAAAACATTGCGAGGGAAGAATTATGACTTGATTTTTAAAAAATTAAATAAATAACATTCAGTCTTAAATGTAACATAACTACTTAAAACTACTTAAAAGGAAACAGTCACTGGTGTAATGCTAGTCTGGGTCTCCATGGCTATTAGCCCCTTTCGGCTGGTTTAAACGGCACACCACTCTGTGGCCCAAACAAAACCACCTGTTTTAACAGGAGGTCAAGGGGGCAACCCAAAACCAAAGCATGCCCTCTGCTTGACTGGCTGCTAATGGGAGTGGATGTTTATCTAGGAGGTCAAATGCCTTGAAGATGGGGTCACGACCCTAACACCTTAAGCCGTGACCTCTCCCACGTGTGGAGTGCTCCTGTCGTAAATTAGCCACGGTTACACGTCCTCAGGCCTCAGCGAACACCACATTTGTGTCTTTTTCTAGTTCTCGTGTTACTTTCTGTTAAGAAATGTATGGCATCTGACTAAAATTACGAACTGCGTGACTGCTGAGATTAGAAAAATGGGTTTTTTAAATACATGTTCTAAGAAATACATTTAAAAAATACTGGAAAATATTGAAAAAACTTAGAAGTACAAACTTGAACTTTAACATATTATAAGAAAAAAAAACTTACATAAGAACAATTGATTTTTTATTAGATAGAATAGAAAAATACTGAATAGTGCAAAAATATTGACACAATATTAAGAAATACAAACTTAACTTTGCAAATTATAAAAATATTCAAATATATTAAATATTAGTGAAAATATTGAAGAAATATTAAAAGAATTGAGAAATACAAACTTAAACTTACAAAATATAATGAATACTGCAAATTTTGAAATCTAAACTTACATATAAGAAAAAAGTTGAACATTACTGCACATAAATAGAAAAACAACAAACTCACAAAAAAATATTGAAATACAAACGGAAAAGTCAAACTCGTAGCTTATATTGTTCCTCTAGTATATTTGAGTTTCTGTTTACCTAGATTGAATTGAAACCTCTCTTCCAGCCATTTCCCCTAATATCGATAGGTAGTCGTATTATCGTCAAGATGAAGTGGGTGTGTTTGCTGGCCTGCACCCCTTTGCCCTGGCAAGACTGTGGGATAAATTTAATTACTGACTTTAGCTCCTCTCAGAAGCCCCACTTTCGCCATCTGTGTATGAGGTCAGGCTCTCTTCAGATGGCTTTTAATCAAGGGGGCTCCAGCAATGCTCCACTGCTTTAAATAAGACAGAGGACGAAACCTGATCGGACCGAATGCAGGTCAGAGACGAGGAAAGAGAGAGAGAGAGAGAGAGAGAGAGAGAGACTCCTGCGTCTTTCTTCCTCTTGTTCTCTCGCTTACGTCTCTTATTCACCATCGAATCAAAAAGAAACGGTAACTTCGCCGATTAGGATGTTAGCAGGACGCTCCCCACTGAATAGGCTTTCAGAAAATCAAAACTAAGGATTTCGGCAGGCCGCGGGGAAACGCGTTGAAAAACACCGGGAAAACGGTGTCATGCTTATCCTCACAAAAAGCTCAAAGGCTCCGGGCCTTTGTGTTCCCACCAAGTCAAATTAATTCACACGCTCCCATTTTTCAACCTGCCGTCTGCCAGATAGCCCGGTTTTCCTACGCGGCGCTAAAGCTCACGTTTTACGGCTTTATCTCCGCCGTCTTTGGGTTACACGCCGTTTTCACTCTTTTATCGGCACCTCATCAAAGCGCGAGTCCGAATGCCGGGAATGGCGGAAACGCGTGCTGCCAACTCGCTCGGTGCCACAATTTGCATGCGAGAGGAAACGATGTAATTAAGGTGCTCAGTTTGCCTTGCGAAACAAAGTGCGCTTCTTGTCTTCCAAGTGAAAGCCTGCGTTTGTGCCGCTGTCAGTGCAAGACGGATCCCCTGCCACCTTCTGCCAATTAACAGTCGCTCTGTCAGATATTTGTGCCGGACTTTTCCATGTTAGCTTCTTGCAGTTAGCAATTAGCAGGAAAATTCACTCTCATTTACATATTCAGCTAAAAGTCTGCGTTTTTTGGCATATCTTTTGGCATAAAGGAAGCAGTGGATTCGATTTGATTTGAATCCGACAGCTTCCTTATTGACTGTTGATGGATAGTAAACAGTAAAATCCTAAAAAGTGCAATCCATTACGATAAATTGCGTTACACATTTTGCCGTGTCATTCGCACACATTCATCAGATTTACTCAATTCAAAACGGGACTTACCTGCATGCACAAAGTAGGCCAAGTACAGGTCGAGCTCCTTTACGGAAACTCCTATGTGATGCGGCTGCACGCACAGCCCTGGATTCGAGCACTGCGGAGACTTAACCAGCCTTTCGCCATCAGTACTTTCAAGCGGAATACCTTTGAATAAAATCACCATGACCAGGTCCAAGCGCCACACTTTGTCCGCCTGACGCAGGCAGTCGATTCTCCTCATCTTGCCCTTCTGGTCGGGGTTGGCGAGCACACAGCTAGGGGGCTTCTTCCCGGTGACAGAGAGCACAAAATCCTCACGGAACTCCGGCCGGATGTCCTTGCGGAGTTTGGCCAGCAGCCGCGATGCCCACTTCTGCTTGACCTCCGGCTTCTCGCTGAGCAGCTCGTCCTTTACAGCTCGCTCCTCTTCCTTAGACATGCGCTTCTCGTGCTTCTTGAAGTATTTTCTCTTGCGGGCCTGCAAGTTGAACCAAGTGTAGGCAAACGCTCTCACATGGGGCAGCAGTGCTTCAATGAAAGGATGGAATTCATCCTGCGAAGAAGGATATGGGAGTGGAAATTAGTCTGAATGACTTTTAGAAACATCCTTAAAAATATAAATACTAAAAATCCTTTCTTTAATAAAGCAACTGCAAAAAAATGTACAGCTAAAGTACAAATTTCTCACAGCAGACACCATGAAAGCGAAACATGCACGTCTACATAAAATCCCTTTTGATTATTTTGAAAAACGGCCCTCAACAGCAGGACTGTGTCTGTGAACCGAGCAGGGCAGTGTGTGTGTGTGTGTGTGTGTGTGTGTGTGTGTGTGTTAAGCTCGTCTAGGACATATCTTGGCTCTCTGGCAAGAATGCTGGTCTGTAGGGGTCTGCCAGGGCCGAGAAAAAGCAACAACCGACCAGGAAAATTGGAGTGGCTATTTTTATCTGTTCTCCATAAAAATGCACACACGATTCCAAAAAACCGAGCTACTTCATTCGCTATCAGCGAGGAGTGTGTTGTTTTCACACAGGAGTGTGTGCGGGGCAGATTGTGCCGGCTTTTGGGATCCCTTCACCTGCCACTGGTGCACAACCTGGCAGAAAATCAATTTTTAAAATATAATGAATAAAAAGATCAGCGAAATATCGGCCGTGACGTTAAAACATCTTTTTGTACGTGGTCAAAACTCCTTCTTTCGGTGGATACATTCATGCAGGGATTTGTTTTTGTTTTGTTTTTATCTACAATATAATTTCATATTTACATAATATTACTGTATAACCAGAAATGCAGTTATTTAGGAAAGCTGCATAATGCAATAGCAGGATTTTTTTATTATACAAACTACATGCATTTGTATTATTGTACATGTGCTTGATTATCAAAATAATAAATACATGCTTTTCTGTATTTGTAGGCCTGCATGTCCATTTCTTGATTGCCTTAACCAAATAAATAACGTGCGGTTCTAATATGAAATAATTTGGGATTTTACACAGAAAATAACTCAGGGTTTTTATTACATAGAGAGAATAATGGCAGACTGCCAATCACTAGAATAACATTTCCACAAACAGCAATAGCCCTGCATCGTGTCCCAAAACCGACCGTGCGAGAGCACGAGAGGACTGCCAGCAAGCAAGCAAAGTGCACTATGTGCTGAGCAGATTTCATTTGAATAAGCACAGATATGAATATAACGCGCTGGGCCTCGGACCAGTGCCTTTAGAAATTTAACAATTAATTCGGCGTCATTTAGGAACGTTAATTAAATTAACTTCTCAGGCCAATTTCAAGCACTGCTGATAATCTTTGTTTCGTAATTAAAAATAATCACAATATGCCATCGAGCAAAAAATAAATAAATATTTATTACAAAAAAAGTTTTAATTATGGAGGTTTATGATTGAAATAAATGCTGTGATTGTGTAAGATTTCTGCATGTTATCTTATTAATTACAGCAACAACAGACTTCATATAGATACAGTACATATTGCCATATCTCTTTTGTTACACCACAGGAAATCAAGGATTTGCATAAGCATATATCATTATTATAGTGTGCGGTGTGTGTGTGTCTCCTGTGAGAATGTGTATGTTTAATCATATTGTTTCCTTCCTGTCTTGTTCCAGAATCAAACTCTCTTGCCTCCAAGGCATAAAAACTGTATTGTTTCATCCTGCATTTAAAAGAGTGAATGAATTCCCTTATCTTCCTTCACTGACTCTCCAAGTAACTTAATCCAAAGTCTGTGAAATATTGTTCCTCAATTACTGATATCATCTATTGTTGTGGCTTTTTATACATGTATATTATGTGCTTTTTATTTAAAAAAAAAAATTTTTTAAGGAACTGTTGCAGACTTGTCTACACTCAGACTTCTTGTAAAATTGCTTGGAGAAAAGAAATCAATATGGAAAATCTCCAGACGAGAATCGAGCTCTCTACTGTAAAAAACATGATGTTAACTTTCAGCAGTTTTCTAGCGATGATTCTAAACAAATCAACCGATTGCTAGAATTATTTGGCGGATGATACACAACACAGCGTAATTTAACATGCAAATTATAATTATGAGAACATCCAGAAAGCTTGTTTTCCTCTTTTGTTATAATTCTAGAAATTCATGAAAACCAAATTCTACATGCTCGTAGCGGCAGAACAAACAGCTCTTCGCATTTTGGAGCGTGCCTGAGTGTCAATATAGGGTCTGGTTAGCATGTCAGGTTTTTCCAGACTCCTAAAGTGTTTCAAGCTGATATAGGAAGGCCTCAGCAGGGAACAATAGTGCCTCGTGGCCAAAAGAGACAAGACAGTTTTAACACATGCAAAAATATTACGAAAAACGGATAATGGGAAAGCACAGTTTACATAATATGACGTTAACACACTGAAAGGTGTTCAATAACTAATGCAAGACAAATGTATGTTTTTTTTAACAACTGAAATATGTGAAAGATTTGAAAATGTGATATTTGGATTTTAAGGTTTTTAATATAAAATCAAAGCAGTATACAAACGTGATTTTTGGCACTCTGAAGACTATTTGAGTCCTTAAATACGACACACACACACACAAGAGAGAGAGAGAGAGAGAGAGAGAGAGAGAGAGAGAGAGAGAGAGAGAGAGAAAATAGACCTCATACTGCCTTAACACCGCAACAGAGAGGAAATCAATTGCCCGTCTCAATTATCTTCAATGCTACTATGATTTTTAGACGTTTAATAATATTACTGTCAAATTACTTATTTAAAAGAAAGGCAACAGTGCTTACATTTTTTTTATTGTAACATTGTAAGCTGTTTTTCACAGAGTGCATTAGTGCTCTAAATTCTGTGTATCACTTATTTTTAATAAGTACTGTTTTTAGCAACAAATATTGGTACTCAAGTAAATGAAATATGTTAGATATATATAAGTTCTTATGTGAGGTTTCAAGTGATAAGTTTTACATTTACTGTGATTGATAAATTATCAAAAGCTTCCCCATGGTTTTGCATGGATGTAACAAAAATAAATAGTTATAAAACAACTTTTGCAAACTTATTCAAGTCGTACTTTATCAAATCAATGAAAAGACGACTTAAAAGTTTGAGAACTTTCTCAGCTCGTCTTTCTCCACACATTACACATAATTTGTCTTTTTTTCGCATGAATCCTTTCCAGTATCTCCAAACAGACTGTAACTAACACGGTAAAAAGAACGTCCCTATAGGCGACACAATACTGAGGCCTTCTCCTTTGTTTTGAGAATTCAATAAAACACATTTAACCAAACAGTTTAAAATCACATCAAGACTATAACGCTACAGCTATTACAGACCTGTCACCTCACTTCACCTGCCACCATGAGTCACACAATGATTGTTCTTTTAACACTCTCAGTTGCTGTCCAACTGTAGTTTTATTCTGTGTTAATTACAAAAGTACGATAAACAACAAATAACACTGTGCACATATATATATATATATATATATATATATATATATATATATAAATGCACATTATAAAATAAGACATATATATATATATATATATATATATATATATATATAACTGCACATTATAAACTAAGCTATCAAGCATGACAGCATCAAATCTAACAGTCTTAACTTTTAACAGTTAAAAAAAACAACTTACTCAACTTATCAATATTTAGAACTGCTGCTAAATATCAGAAATATAGAGGCATTGAAGCTTTCAAAAATATAAATCAAAGAGTTTCTGCTGCCTTGAAGAAAAAGTCTCATGTAAGCAACAGAAAAGCTTTTTATTGCCGGCAGCTGGTTCAAACTAAAGTTAATACAGAAAACGGCATAGTTGTTTTGATATTTAATAACAAAATGCACCCAAATAAGACTATTATGATCTCAAATATGTGTTTAAAGGTGAAGACGTTTATGTGACGTTTTCAACTCCAAACTTAAAACAGCTTGGTGTCATAGCAGTCATGCAAAGAGTTTTTATTTTGTATTTCACGAGTTGTTGTGCTTTAAAGAAACCCAGAGTGCTGTGAAAAACCTACATCGAGAACTCTTTAATCTTTGAATAACCATAAAGCAACCTAATTAGAAAATATTCTTTGCTGAATCGTTAAAGAACTTTATTTTAAAGAGTGCAACCGGATCAAACGTGCATAACGTTGACTCAGTGTAACGTTTTCTTTCATGCACAGCGCTTAACTTGCTAAATATCAACGTCCGTGCCCATGCAAAAAGCGGCTAGAATAAAACACAACTGTAGATAAATGTGCACAAGAAATATTAATGTGTGTTAGGTGGGCGCTATCCGCCATGTGGTAGCTCAGTAAATGCCTTAGTGCACACTAAGTTACTTGTCTAATGCAAAGGTTAGTCCCTATCCGCGCTGCCCCGGCCGAAGACACCGCTCAAACGCAACAAACAGAGTTAATAATAGACGAAAATGTCACTTACCTGTGTTAGGCATAGCGGAGAATACATATCTGTCGGTTTTAACTCTTGAATTGGCGATGTATATGTTGTGTGTGTGTGTGCGTGTGTGTGAGGGTGTGTATGTGTGAATGTATGGGGTGTGTATGTATATGTGTGTATGAAAAGAGAAAAAAAGAGAGACAGAGAAGAAGGGAGAGAGGGAAAATAAAGCCTTGCTTCTTGCTTTCACATTTCCAACTCTGCGAAGTGCGCGCGACGCTTCAGCGCTCCATAGAGCTGAACTTTAACCCCGCCTCGAGTTACACACATCTACTGTACTGTACTGTTAAAGCCGTATATCCAAACTTTCGGCATTATCATCAAGTGCAGCCTTAGAGAAAAGTCCCGACGACGGATGGATGGAAGTACGCGGAGATTTCACAGAGCCATGAGTGAAACTGTGGTGATGAAGCGCCGAGAGGAGCGATTATTTCATCTTGCGGTCATTTGAATAGAAAAAAAGGATAGAAAAAGTCGTCCGGATGCGTTATAAAACTCGCGTTTGGTTCATTCTTCGCTGTCTTCTTATAGCGCCGCGCCGCGCGCTTGCATCCGCAGTGAGGCATGTGGCGGTGCGAAGCAAAACTGAGGCGGATTTACGAGCAGCGAGGAGGGTTCGGCATGCTTAGGAAGATTGTAATATCCTTAAAACCCCCTGTTGCAAAAGCTGCCACTTGTGTCGCGGTTAGTTTCGACCTGAGAGAGAGGGAGAGAGAGAGGCAGAGGAAAAAAAAGTGAAGCAAGCGCACGATTCGAGTCCGCTGAGACGAAGCTCCCGTTCACTTTTGCCGTTCAAACTCTTGGGCTCTTCCATCAGCACAGCGCCCTCAATATCGGCACGAGAGCCATACACATGCGGGACAAGAGAAATGCGCACTCCCAATGCCGTTGCACTTCGTGTACACCAAGTAGCCTATTGTAACGCAGAAAGTATGATGATGAATTTAACTTACATCTTTAGCGTGCAGTTGATGTCTTATAAACAAAATTTAAACAAATAAATAAAGGAGTACTTTTCAGAAATAAACAGCTGGAAAAATAAGACATTCGTATCGCATTCACTACCCTCAGTAGTGTGTTGCCAAATAATCAAATAATTTCAGATTTTACAAATCAGCAATCATTTTAATGCAGTTCTTGCAAAAGGTGCGTTTGCACATGAATGTTTAGAGGCAGCATAAGGGCAACTGATTCTATATGCATAATTTCAAATACTAAATCAAATGTAACATTTAATAATTAAAAAAAAACAAAACTAAAACACTGATTATAAAAAAATGCTGCGTATGCTTAAATAGGCTACACGTTGTCATTTGAAAAAACAATCAGAAGATTTAAGTCTCAGCAGCCTTAAGTGCAACATTACACAATACTTGCTTCATTTCGAGTCAGACCTGAAGTGATAACTTTAGTTTGTACGCGAAATCCATACTTATTTCTAATGATTTAATGAACTGGTTCAAAAGAGCCAATCGTCGGGGAACAGAACAAGCATGGTCAGGCTGTGTGCAGTTGATTCACTAAAAGAATCGACTCAAAAGAGTCATTCGTGTGAGAATCGGACTACACTTTTTGCGTTTTACGTTTAAAATTCACTAAAAAGAGTGTCATTCATTTTGGTAATCGCACTATACTGCTCGCGCAATGTTTATGATTCACTAAAAATAAGCAGACTGCAATGCATTTAGCGGCATCGAACGTCATTAGCCACAAAAAAAACCGTTGCGTTACGAATTATCGCGAGATAAATCGTTTATAACTCTAGAAAAGCGTTCTTTTCGTTGCTACAAGAGCAATAAATAAATGAATGCTTATTTTTGTTCCTTGTGCTAATAATGTATGTTTATCCAAACCCAAGTATTTCACATGCAGCATTTCTTTCCTCACGTGTTGAACATTGTTTCAGAATATTTTGAAACGGCCAGTTATAATGAATTGGCGATGTATATGTTGTGTGTGTGTGTGCGTGTGTGTGAGGGTGTGTATGTGTGAATGTATGGGGTGTGTATGTATATGTGTGTATGAAAAGAGAAAAAAAGAGAGACAGAGAAGAAGGGAGAGAGGGAAAATAAAGCCTTGCTTCTTGCTTTCACATTTCCAACTCTGCGAAGTGCGCGCGACGCTTCAGCGCTCCATAGAGCTGAACTTTAACCCCGCCTCGAGTTACACACATCTACTGTACTGTACTGTTAAAGCCGTATATCCAAACTTTCGGCATTATCATCAAGTGCAGCCTTAGAGAAAAGTCCCGACGACGGATGGATGGAAGTACGCGGAGATTTCACAGAGCCATGAGTGAAACTGTGGTGATGAAGCGCCGAGAGGAGCGATTATTTCATCTTGCGGTCATCTGAATAGAAAAAACGATAGAAAAAGTCGTCCGGGTGCGCTACAAAACTCGCGTTTGATTCATTCTTCGCTGTCTCTTATAGCGCCGCGCCGCGCTCTTGCATCCGCCGCGAGGCATGTGGCGGTGCGAAGCAAAACTGAGGCGGATTTACGAGCAGCGAGCAGGGCTCGGCATGCTTAGGAAGATTGTAATATCCTTAAAACCCCCTGTTGCAAAAGCTGCCACTTGTGTCGTGGTTAGTTTCGACCTGAGAGAGGGGGAGAGAGAGAGGCAGAGAAAAAAAGTGAAGCAAGCGCACGACTCGAGTCCGCTGAGACGAAGCTCCCGTTCACTTTTGCCGTTCAAACTCTTGGGCTCTTCCATCAGCACAGCGCCCTCAATATCGGCATGAGAGCCATACACATGCGGGACAAGGGAAATGTGCACTCCCAATGCTGTTGCGCTTCGTGTAGCCTACACCAAGTATTGTAATGCAGAAAGTGTGATAATGAATTTAACTTCCGTCTTTTAGCGTGCAGTTGATATCTTATGCACCGAATTTTGAGGATTTTCTTCTCATTTTATTTTTAACAAAAAATAAAGGAGTAGGCTACTTTTGAGAAATAAACGTTTGGGAAAAAAAGGCATTAGTATTGCATTCACTGCCTTCAGTATGCTAGTGTGTTGTCAAATGATAGGCTACAATCATTTCAGATTTTACAAATCAGCAATAAATTTAATGCAGCTCTTGCAAAAGGTCCGTTTAGAAACAGCATAAGTGCATCTGCTTCTATATGCATAATAAATTAAAATACTAAATCAAATGTGGTAATATGTAATAATTAAACAAAAAAAACACTGATTATAAAACAAAATGCTGCGTATCTTTAAATAGCCTACACAACCAATCAGCTGATTTAAAGCCCACGAGCGTTAATTACAACATAGCACAACAATTCTTGCTTCATTTCGAGAAAGTAGGCGAGATTCATATTTACTGCTAATTATTTTATGCCTAACTAAAAGAACCAGTTCAAAAGAGTCAATCTCCTGAGAACCGAACAATTGGGGAAGTCGTGGCCTAATGGTTAGAGAGTCGGACTCGTAACCCAAAGGTTGCGGGTTCGAGTCTCGTACCGGCAGGAATTGTAGGTGGGGGGAGTGAATGTACAGCACTCTCTCCCACCTTCAATACCACGACTCAGGTGCCCTTGAGCAAGGCACCGAACCCCTAACTGCTCCCCGGGCGCTGCAGCATAAATGGCTGCCCACTGCTCCGGGTGTGTGTTCACGGTGTGTGTGTTCACTGCTGTGTGTGTGCACTAAGGATGGGTTAAATGCAGAGCACTAATTCCTAGTATGGGTCACCATACTTGGCCACATGTCACTTCACTTCAATGCTGGTCACGCCATATGCAGTTGATTCGCTAAAAGAATCGACTCAAACGAGTCATTCGTGTGAGAATCGGACTACACTTTTTGCGTTTTGTCTTTAAATTCAGTAAAAAGAGCGTCATTCATTTGGTAATCGGACTATACTGCTCGCGCTATGTTTTTAATCCACTAAAAGAAACAGACTGCAATGCACGTTCGAAAACATTTAATGGCATCGAACGTCATTAAATAAAAAGCGTTGCGTTACGAATTATCGCAGGATAAATGGCTTATAACGGAACAAAAGCGTTCTTTCCAATAGCAAGACATAAATGAATGCTTGTTTTTGTTCTTTATGCTCACGTAGCCTATGTCTATCCAAATCCAAGAATTTATATGCAGTATTTCTTTCCTCATGTGTTCAACATTGTTTTAGAATATTTTGAAACGGCCAGTTACAAGCACCAGTGTTTTCAGTATCATCTTTCATTTCTGTGAGGCCCGTCTTGAACGTATTTCAGACTCATGTGCGGCAGGCATGTTCCTTAACAACACATGCCTATTAATATTTATTTCTGTGATTCTGATATTTCAAAGAGCCCATGAAATAGATCACACAAAATGAAATTGTGAATGTTTTGTCCCAAAAAAAAAGTCCACCTGAATAACTTCTGTGATTTAAAAGTAAGAAATGGACACTGATGGATAGGAAAGCAACTGCCAAATGCAATGTTATGTTTCTAATCACGTGTACCGAACGTGCAAACATTAATAAGCAAACCTAGTTCATGTAATTAGTTTGGTTGGCACTCAACAGCGTTTTATTATTAATTATTAACCAGCTCTGGCCTGTAAGTCATTCGGAATCGGGCGCCCCCTAGTAAACGGCAACGTGCAAGATTCATTTGAATGCACACAGAAAAGTGCTTTCCAGAAACACAGGATGATATTCTAAATAAAATATCAGTCTGTTGGAGAGAAAATAAACACTAGGATATATTCCATAAACTCAAGCATTTGAGGGGCATCAAAATTAGTGTGAGCATCAAGCCATGAAAAAAAAAACACCAAGGTGAGTTTTGTTAAATCTAAGATAGCTAACGATGAACAAAACACTGTGTATAATAGAAATGATAGGAAACTGGATATGAATTATGCTCATAACTCACAGTCACAGTAACTTGCTGCAGATGCACGTCAGTCCCTCTGGTGTTTTCATGAGCTACTCTGTGATTGGGCAAAACAGTGCAATTCAAAGCTCACGACGTCGCTATTGGGCAAGTTTCACGCGCATGTGACGGCAACCACTCCTGCACGCCGTAAGACAAACTCCCGCAGACTCTCGGTTTGTCGGTAAACAGCCTCGCGGAAACACAAATAAATTAGACTGGGAATAGAGAGAGCGCTTATCTTCATGATATCAGACTTCCGTTTTGTTTAGACAACCTGACGGGAAGGCAAATGCTCGAAATACGCGGTCTTTCAGACCTGGCGTTGAAATGTGTCACCTCAAACTTTATGATGTAGCCTACTATAAAACAGACACATTTAGATTACAATAGAATAATGATAATAAAAGCAATTATTTTGTATTTGATATTTCCAAATATCTTACATTGTCTTCACCTTGAGCTAAAAGGAAGTACACTCTTAAAAATAAAGGTGCTTCACGATGCCATAGAAGAACCTTTTGGTCTAAATGGTTCCATAAAGAACCTTTAACATCTGAAGAACCTTTCTGTTTCTCAAAAGGTTCTTTGTGGTGAAAGAAGGTTCTTCAAATTATAAAAAGGTAAGAAAGAAATGGTTCTTTACAGAACCTTTGACTGAATGGTTCTTTCTGGAACCAAAAATGGTTCTTCTATGGCATCGCTTGAAGAACCTTTTGAAGCACCTTTATTTTTAGCTACATTAATTTTATTAGGCTCCGGTCAACCTTATCACTTAGGCTATCTCAACAGCTTTATATGAGATATATTTTTCTTAAATTTAACTTGAGATGGCACAATCAAATGTATTAACACTTAAATATCATCTTTGATAGAATAGTTCAATTATGTAAAGAAATTTGCTTTATAAATTTGTTTTGTTGAAATGCACCCATTAGAATAATCCTTCATAAACATACACACACAATAAGCTAGTTTTTGTAGTAAAGCAAAGAAAAGAAA